GAGTGATCTCCGTCATTGGGCCAGATGGTTCCCTGGTTGGACCAGGCAATGCCTCACTGCTTGGGTTCCATGAAGCTGGAGGCCGGGCCACATCAGGTGATGCTCTGATAACTCTGCAGTTCTGGGATCAGACCCAGGTCTCATGCACTCAAGGCTTGTGTTCTAGCCCTCTTAGTTATCTCCATGGCTCCTGATACATTTTTTTTCTCAGTCTTTCATTGATTAGAATTTTCTCTTTTTCATATTGCTTAAAGTTTGTGTAGCCCCAGCAGATGTTTTTGGTACCATAAGAGTTAGGGGTTCCATAAGAAAGTCAAGGCTTGGGCTGGAGCAATAGTACAACAAATAGAGCACTTACCTCACATGCGGCCAACAAAGGTTCGATCCCCGACATCCCATATGGTCCCCTGAACATTGCCAAGAGTAATTCTTGAGTGCAGAGCCAGGAGTAACCCCTGAGCCTCACTAGGTGTGACCCAAAAATCCAAAAAAAAAAAATTGAAAAAGAATGTCAAGGCTTCATGTGTGCCTCAAATACCTAGGGTACACTTGTTCATTGAATAATTATGAGGAAAATTCAAAAAGTTAACTTTTACATTAATGCGAGTTTGAATAATCTTGTTTGTGAGATTCACAGCTGGATATGCTATAATCAGCCATAAGAGAGTTGGTGGCATTATGATAAAAAGATAATAATAAATGCTAATACTAATTTTCTGCTAGAGGTCTCTATTAGATGATCTTTGCTGTCTCTTCTGATTCAAAAATGTATCTGCAAGTTCTTCAGATCATTTGATTGCTCGACATTTCATCTGTATATGAAATCATGTCTTGATGCCCCCCTTTTCCCCTTTTCAGAAAATTATCAGAATTCCAAAAGGGTATTCCATGCTGTTTTGAGCAGATTAAGCAATAGTACAATGGATAAGATGCTTGCATGGCTTATGGCTGACATGGGTTCAGTTCCCAGCACCCAATAAGTCCCCTGAGTTCCACCAGGAGTGATCCCTGAACACAGGAAGGAGTAAGCCCTGAACATCACTGGGTGTGGCCAAAAAAATCTGTTCTGATACTTGTGTTTTTTTAAAATTTAGTATAACGGAATTTTCAGAAAACACAGAAGGTGATAGTCTAATTTAGAAGCTGTTTGAAAGGAAAGCAGTAATCCTGTAAACAGCTCTCTGGGGATTGATTTACAATGTAGACAAACCACTCAATTACTTTAACAATGACCTTGATTAAATACTTTTGTTTTTTGGGTGCCTACCAATGTTAAGGGGTTGCTGGATCACTCCCAGTAACCTTTGGCCAGTGTGTTCTGAAGGATAAAACAAAACAGATCTGGAAATGGGTGTAGACAGTGACCACATTAAGTCATTTTTAGATAACACAGTAGGAGTGCACCTCTGATTTGAGGCCCATAGATGAATAAAGACATAAGAGTATGTAGAGGCAGGGAAAGCAAAACCTATTTATTTGTCCATCAAAAACTACCTCTTTATCTGGCCCAGTCTTTCTTTCTTTCTTTCTTTCTTTCTTTCTTTCTTTCTTTCTTTCTTTCTTTCTTTCCTTCCTTCCTTCCTTCCTTCCTTCCTTCCTTCCTTCCTTCCTTCTTTCTTTCTTTTTTTCTTTCTTTGTGGCCTGATAGCATAGTGGGTTGGGCGTTTGCTTTGCAAGTGGCTGACCTGAGTTTGATTCCTCCATCCCTCTCAAAGAGCCCAGCAAACTATGGAGAGTATCCCGCCCACACAGCCTGGCAAGATCCCCTGTGGTGTATTCAATATGCCAAAAACAGTAACAACAAGTCTCATTATGGAGACTTTACTGGTGCCTGCTCAAGCAAATTCATGAACAATGGGAGGACAGTGCTATATGCTACAGTGAAGCAAGGTAGTTTTTATTGAAGCTTTTCTAGAAAGATGTGAAGGGAAAGAGAGAAGTATATTTTTAAGAAGAGAACATAGGCTTCACCAGAGCGGAAATTAGGCTAGCAAAGGAGCAAACAGATAAGCAAGTGAGAAGCATGCTCAAGGGAGAATGTGGGCTTGAAGAACAAGCCTGGAAGGGTCATTTTCTGGCAAAGAGTAGATGCAAAGGATGAGGACTGACAAGGGGTCTTGAGGCAGAAGCAGAGTGAGTGGCAGAAAATAGGATAAGAGAGATATTAAAGACACTGTTCTTTTTATCTTAAACAATTAAAAGCTAAATTTTTTTATGTAGCAAACCACACAAATACTAAGTGGATAATGAAGATGTAATGTTTCCACAACCTCAGAAAATTCTCCATTAATCCCTTCAAATTACTACAGACCTCCCCCAAGTCACACACACACACCCACCACAGGCAGCCATTGTTTTGATTTCTATCCACAGAGATCCTTTTTGTCTGTTTTGAGGATGAAGTAATGCAAAACACATCTTTCTTTGTGTATCTGTAGTTTTATTGTTTTATAAAGATCCATCCATGCTAAGTGTATCAGGGATTCTTTTTCATTATTGTGTAATATTCCACAGCATAAACACATTGCCATCTGTTTATCAAATTTCAAGGATATTTGTTAGTTATAGTTTGGGCATATTGTGAGTGGAGTTGCCATGAACATCTGTATAGAGTCAGAGTCTTTGTGGACCAAAATTTTAGGATTATAATCTTCTGGTTAAAAGGCAGATACAGGGGCTGGAGCAATAGCACAGCGGGTAGGGCGTTTGCCTTGCACGCGGCTGACGTGATTTCGATTCCCAGCATCCCATATGGTCCCCTGAGCGCCGCCAGGAGTAATTCCTGACTGCAGAGCTAGGAATAACTCCTGTGCATTGCCGGGTGTGACCCAAAAAGCAAAATAAATAAATAAATAAATAAATAAATAAAAGGCAGATACATTTATACATAAAAAAGTTGCCAACTCACTGGAGAGATAGTGCAGCAAGTAGGGCACTTGCCTTGCATGCTTGATTCCCAGCATCTCAAATGGTTCCTTGAGTACCACCAGGAGTAATTTCTGAGTACAGAACAAGAAGTAACCCCTTAGCATTGCTAGGTGGGTTACACAAAAACCACACATTTTTTGTGCTGCCACCTGTTTTTCCAAATGATTGTGCCATTTTATACACCTGCTGTCTAAAATTCTACTTTCCTATACTTGTAATTCCTTTTGTTGTAGCTTTTTGTTTTGGGATCACACCAAGCAGTGCTCAGGTTCTCCTGGTTCTGTGCTCAGAGAATACTCCAGGCTATGCTCAGGGACCATAGGTGATGGCAGGTATCAAACCTGGAGTGCCATGTGCAAGGCTGTACTCTCTCTGACCCTATTGCTGTCATTGTATTTACAACCTTAGAGGGGGATGAAGTAGCATTAATAATTTAATTTGTATTATTCAGACAATTTGTGTGAAGCCCTATCTCCTGCTGTATCTTTCTCTTCCTTTGTGAAATTTCTGTTGAAAGTAAATCCTGTTTGGGGGATGGGGAAGTAGTCCAGTGGTTAAGGTTCATGCCTGAAAGAATCAGAGCAAGACTGTTTTTCTGTGCCTTGCCACCCCAGGGCAGATGACCATCAAATATTACCAGGGTGGTGGATCCTATCACTTCTTAGGAGCTCTCTCCCTTCTAAGCTCTTGTGTTTTCCCAATACGTTCCTGGAGTGGTCACATTTTCACATATTTTTATCCAATTGAAATGATGTTACCAAAATAGTGGATATGTGTGACATTCTGTAGGGAGTCCAGTTTTGGACAATCTCTAATCTGTCCTGCCTCAGGACTAAAGTTGAAGGACTGCTTAAACAGTTAGTCTAATCAGTCTAGATACCTTTTTTGCAATCAAGCTGCAGGAAATACCTTTCTTTTATTAGCACAGATTTGCAGGCAAAAAGCATTTTGAAAAGAAATCTCTCAAAGCTTCTTGAAGAAATCCAGGAAACAGATTGTTTTCAACAGCCCGCTCCAGGCAATTAATAAAGACAAAGAGTGATTTTAACATTGCACAGTGGTTCTCAAGCTGGGTTAAATTCGCACTGGTAGTAGGGTTGGTTTTTTTTTTTTTTTTGGTAGTTTGTGTAAATCTTGCTATTGCTAAGACGAGGCAGGAGCAGGGAGCTGCTGGCATCTCTTGAGAAGATTTAGGCAGGGATGCTGCTAAACCAGCACAAGATAACCAGGTTTACAAAAGATAGCTTTCTTGCCAAATGTCAGCAATGCCCGATACAAAATCCTGCTTCAAACGTTGCCATCTTCTGAGAAACATTTAGTATTCACCCTCTGCGTGTTTTGACCCACAAATCTGTTGTCTCGCCACCTGACTTTAGTGCGTGCTTTTCTTCTAGTAACATAATTCCTGACACTTTTCCATAGGCGGAGATTCTCATTCGAAAACAGTAAACCGGCCGGCACGCAGGCCCAGTTTTCCCTTTGAGATCTCGCTATAATGCAATCCCCAGTTCAATTTCTGAGGCAAAACGGACGGCGGTAGAGGGAGGGCAGGATCTGAAATCCATGTCTCGACATCGTGTTCCGTGGGACTGGAAAAGTGAAGTTCTGAGCTTTAGCGAGTAAGGAGGGATGACATTCTGCCTGAGGTCATCAGCTCCTTCTATAGAGTGGCATTGCTGCGGCCACCCTACCTGACTTGACACTAGGCTCAGGGGAACGCGCCCCTGCCGATTAACCTAGGCAGCTTCGGAGCCCCAGACGTCCAGGGAATGCAGCCCGAAGGAGGGAAGGCGACCGAGGACCGGGCGCCACAAGCCGTGGGGACTGGAGCGCGCACTAACGCGGGGACTCGGCAGCGCAGCCGTCGGAGCTGCGGCGGCGCGGCGGCGCGGCCGGCTGGAGGGGGCGGACCGGGCGGCGGGCGCAGGCGCTCCCGCCCCGCGCGCGCGCGCGCGCGCACCCCCTGCCCCTCACCCCTCCCCGCCTCGGGCCCCGGCGGGGAGCGGCGCGCGCCGGCCGCGGGCGCCTGGACCCGCCCCCTCGCCTTCCGGAGCGGGCGGGGCGGCGGCGGGAGGCGGCGGGCGCGAGGAGCGCCTCGGCCGGCGCGGAGCTCGCAGACGCGCGGGGAACATGGCGGCGGCGGAGCCGGCTGTCGCGGCGCTGGCGGGCGGCGGCGTGGGCGCGGCGGCGCCGTCGGGCACGGTCCCCGTGCTCTTCTGCTTCTCCGTCTTCGCGCGGCCCTCGTCCGTGCCGCACGGCGCGGGCTACGAGCTTCTCATCCAGAAGTTCCTGAGCCTCTACGGCGATCAGATCGACATGCACCGCAAATTCGTGGTGCAGCTCTTCGCCGAGGAGTGGGGCCAGTACGTGGACCTGCCCAAGGGCTTCGCGGTGAGCGAGCGCTGCAAGGTGCGCCTCGTGCCGCTGCAGATCCAGGTGGGTCCCGCGGGAGGGCCGCGCGCCCCGCCGTTGCCCCGGGGCTCCCCAGCCGGTCCCCGCCCCCGCCGCGCTCCTCAGGTGCCCGGCCGGCCGGGAAGGGCCGCCCCGCCGCCGCGAGCTTGGGCGCCGGCCCAGATCGGCGGCCAGGGCAAAGGTGACGGTCACCAGCTGTCCTCGCCTGCGGCGGGGGCGGGGAACCCCGGCTGTCCGCGGCGCGCGCGCGCGTCCCCACGTGTGTGGTCCCGAGCTCCCCGCAGCCGCCCGTGCGCCCCGGAGCCCGTCCCAGCCTCCTGCGGAACCGAAGGGCAGTGCGGTAGAAGCCGGAGCGGCTTTGCGGGTTGATGCGGAACGGGGAAAGGAGATTCCGGGGCCGAGCCTGGGGGGTAGGGTTGGTTCCCCGGAGTTGTGTTTACCACTTGCCAAAACCCAAACTTTCGCAGAGACCCTTTCCCGGTCCCCAGATCCTGCTTCCAGACCCTTCGCCGCAGGAGCCCCGGGCGCGCAGGAGCAAAGCCTTTTGCTTGGCTCTTCCCGGGGCCGCTGTCAGTGGAATCTGTTGATGACAGACAGACGCATGGCTTACGTTGAAAAAGTCATTTGGTTCTCAGGACGGGGTCACCTCGCACCCCGGCCCGCTTTTGCTGAACATTGATTTCATGGACTGCAGGATTCGTGATCAGCTAATTTCGTTTCTGAAAAGGAAGAAAGAAAGAGCCTGGCGCTATTCCGCGCTTCGGTCAGCTGAACTAAATGCTTTTCTCAGGATTCAGTGGAGGATTTGTATTTTTCCAAGGAAATCTTAAAAGAAGCAACAAAGTGCAATTTCAGTAGCACCTCTAACGGCAAGGGTTTTTGCTTGATTTTGTCTTAAGAAATCCGTGCAGTCTTTCAGAAGAGAGACCAGTGAAAAGAGTCAAACTCAAGAGGTGGCATTGGGGTGTTAAAAGATATTTCAGTATTCAAGTGTCATTTTTCAATGGACTGTTCTTCAGGTGCTTCCTCCTCTTCCCCCCCAGCTATAGTTGCTGCAGAATTGGCCTTATTTCCCAGCACCCCTCCTCCCATGCCAGAGAAGCTCAGAGCAAGGATTTAAACCTAGATAAAATCCCTGTATTTAAAGGCAAAGACTGATGGAGGCCACTGTCCAACCTTGGAGACCACTTCCCATCCTCGGAGACCACTGTCCATCCTTGGAGAGCCCCTAAGACCGTGGGGTCTTTGATGGCCTCAGAATTGGCCCAGCAGTCTGTCCCCGTGAAGTTAGAGAATATGGTTCTTTAGGGGTTTATGGCTTCCCATTTTATGTCTTCAAGAGTTTACTTATTTGACACCTCCACAGCATCCCTGGTCAGTTTATTTAGATTATTGATTCCAAAATACCCCAAAAATTGGATGTATCTTTGACATTCATTGATAAGGGGAGGATCTGAATATGAACGGAGGTGACCTGGGACTGTACAAGAAAGAGGAATCCTCAGGTTCTGTAGTGATACTTTCCTGTAGTGAGTGGGAAGATCTTATGCCAAACTAGCATTACTACCCCTCCCCTCCAGGTCTGTAAAGCTCCCCCTGTCATCCCTAGGATAGGATTATTCATTGAAAAATTCAAGGCCCCAGTCCTACAACTCTTTTCAACAAAACATTTTGTAAATGTATAAAGTATATATGTATACCTAAGATGCTATGATATTTTCAAAAGACGTGATTCACGTCACTGAATTGTGGCTCTTGAAATATCTTGCTGGTGTAGGAGATAATCAGTTGTTAATTTAGCGTAATGATGTTTAAAATACTTATAATAATAGCATTACATGTTCATCCTATAAAAAATGTTATCTTTCTCACTAAATAGTCCAGGAATTTTTTAACATCGGTTATCAGTTATATAGCACTTAATATCTGATCAAATTTTATAAATATTTTTCTTTCATATTCTTGTTTTGGTGACCTTGATATTTTGACTTCTTCCACCGGCTGCCTTCCCCACTTAGACATAGAGGATGGAGGATGTGCAGACATACTTTCAATATGCTGAGACGTGTTCTGATTTATGTATGTGTTTATATTATAGCGAAGGTGTATACACCTATGTAATCTCAGAAGAGAAAGTATATTTTTCCCTTTTATGACCATTTGACTGTTTTTTGGAACCTTGCCATCTCATCCCAGGGATGTAAACATTTTATGGCCAAATGAGACCATTAGAGTTCATGTCACAAACATTTGAATGTCAGCTGTCTGGCACAGTGAATGCAACTAAGATCCAGTTTTTATACCTTCCCTGATGATCGAACCCCTCCATTTGCAGAAAAGCAGGGCCAAAAAGGAAAATCTCCCAAGAGGACCCTGTGAATGGCAGACCCTGCAAAGCATGGAAAGGTCATTGCTCAAGCCAGCCCTCACCTCTGTGTGCTCTTTTTGTGCCTAGTGAAAATATACAGCAGTACTGAGAGCCAGTTACAAATATGAGCTTGTGATATTGCTTGGTTGCTGCTCAGGGTTCTATGCAGTAGATGTCTTTCATTTAGGGAGATTCAAGGTGATGCCGCAGTGAGGCATGGTATTGGAGTGGTAAGTAAGGCCTTTTTCCTGAGGAAGGAACTAGGAGCATCTCTTGTCCCCACAGAGTCCCTGGGCTTAAGTAGTGTGACTTGTTATTTCTCCATTTAGACCTTTGAGCAGATATCATCCTGGCTCCCCAGCTGTCTCCTCGAATGTCTGTTATAGGGCTCTGCTTGTGCGTGCTTGTACTGAGGCTCTTGCCATGACCTTAGGAAACTCTCCCTCACCTCTCCTCGGTGCTTCTGTGGGGACTCTGCTACCAGGGTTAGGCCAGGGCATCCTCGCCCTTTAGTTGTCTTCCTTTCCCAAACCCACCCACTGTCCAGATGATAGCCAGGCTGCTGCCAGTTCAGGTGACAGCTCACGTTTCCAGCATGGCTTGTGTGTCTGCATGGTTTATATTCTGACTGTGTAGTCTGAAGTCTGAGGAATTTTGAGATACGGGAAAAGAAATGTAAATGAGGATTAGGCAGGATGAATTGGGTCATATTTATAACTTACAGCTTCCAATTTTTCCAAAAGATATTTTCCAGGTTTTAACTAATGGAAATATTCAACCCTGGAAACTTGTGTAAATTTGTTATGGAACCACCTGCAGCATTTCCAGCTTGTCTCCTGGGGGAGGCAGAGGTGGGACCCCCCAGGGAAAGAGAGGAGGGTGTGATCATTGTGCTGAGGGGGGCAGCGCCCTAGCTGCTTTGTGTGGGGAGAAGACTAGGGCTTCCTGAGGAAGGTTACTTTGACCTTTACCTGAGACAGGTAATTAGAAGCGATGCAGCTCCTGCATCCACTCCCTCAGCAATTGGTTACTGCTGTTCTATTAAACAGGGACACGATATTTCCTAAGAGGAGACGCAAAAGTTGATGGTGTGAAGGAAGAAAGGGCGGCTGGGTTTGAAAAGATAGGAAAATGAGTCTGTTCCCGATTGGACTTGCTAGTTTGGAGGTTGATTTGATTACAAAACCTTTATGGTGAAAAGAGTATTAAAAACAGGTAGAGAAACAGGCCAGACCTGTCTGTAGAGAGGCAGACTGTGTCCCAGCACTGGGAGGAGACAGCTGTGGTTATGTGTGTATGTGTGTGTGTGTGTATGTATGTGGTGTGTGTGTGGTGTGTGTGTAAGAGAGAGAGAGAGAGAAAGAGAGAGAGAGAGAGAGAGAGAGAATTTGGCATCAAGATCCTGCCTAAAGCATTACATTCTTTGGGTGCTGTGGCCAATTGTTTGAGAATGGGAGTTATGATCAGAGTTTGTATATCTCCCTTAGTTATCGAAGGGGAACCCAGGGTAGAGGCAGATGCCAGTGTATTCCCAGGATCTGGCACCATCACTTTTACCCCAGTCTGAGTCACCCTCTTAAGAAATTCCTGACCCTAGTTCTGAGGTGGGTGGAGAGAATCAACTTCAAATGTGAAAATTCATTTGAGGGACATGCTGGAGTTTGAATATTAATGTCTGTACTGTGAATTTCCCAGCAGGTGAAATAATATTCTCTTGCAGAGTAAATTAAGAAAGCCCAATCAGGAAAAGATGGTATAATGGTAAGTCATGGTGACCTCTGGAAATCCACTTGTGATTTGTTTTTTTCATTCTGCAGACTAACTATGGTAATATAATTATACTAAGTTAGGCAGCATTGGATGTGGAGATGTATATACAAGTATAAGTCATTTATAGATATCTTAAGGAGTCTTAATAGTAAATGGTACTTTAACCTCATTTAGAAGAGAGCTTTCTTAATGAGCCAAACTTGGGAGTGTACTGTATATTTCCTTGCTGAGAATTTTCAAAATAGCTTAATAATTCTTAGGGAATTGTATTATTATAGTTTAATCCCTGAAATAGCCCTTAGAGGTAGAGTCTATTTTTCTTGCATTGTTACAGAGTAAGAAAATGGTCTTTGGAGATGTTAATGATTTGCCTAATTCCATGTAATTAAAACTGGACTTGGATACTAATGTCCTCAGGGATGTGGTTTGGGGATCTTTCAGGCTGGCCCCTGGAGTCACATCAGAGACCTCTGTTGTGAGTCCCTGTTGGAGCAAGGTCTTACCTGGATCTGTGGAGTGCTGTTTCCTCGGAAGCACCTCTGAGAGGAGTCCTGCCACTCTGGATCCCCCTCTGAATGCTCAGGCACATTGTGCCTATGCTGTGACTGTAACAAATGGACTGTAAAATGCTAGCGAACATCCCATTTCCTGTTCTAAACTTGAACCATTCCCGCAGGTTGCAGGTTTACTCCTTGGAAGAGTTTGCTCACTGTGACCAAGTCGAACGAACTGATCCATTTATACAGTAGAAGTGACTTCCCCCTGAGTTCTGGAGGAGAGCAAGTGAGGTGCCTTAGGGTTAACTCCTGAGGGCTGTGAGGGCTGTGAGAGATCCCAGCTTTTGGTGATTTGCCAGCTACCTTTGGCAGAGACCTGGTCAGACTTG